GAGAATCACCCTCCGGGGGGAGGAGCAAGAACTAATGAGTGAGCTAAAAAGGACAAGATGGAGTGATCCTCTATAAAAAGACCAGCAGTAATCTCTTCCTCTCCTCCCTCTCCTCTCCCCTTAATGTCCTAAGAGATCTTGGCTCCTCTGTAAAGCCTGCTGCCTCCACACATCAAACAGAGCTGATTAGAGCCACACACCTTGCTGGAGCTGATGCTTTCGACAGGGTGCAGCCGAAGTTCAAGGGAGACTCAATGTCACAAAAAGCAAAGAGGAAAAACTCTTCAAGTTAGTGGACATCTCTCTGGAACAGATACATTTGAACATCTTCCACTGAATCAGCATGCGACAAATACTGACTTCAGTATCCACTTAGCATATCTCTAACCCAGTGCCTTGGAGCTCAAGTAACATTGGTGTCTTTCAAATTCGGGCCGCTGCTGCTTTGGATTCTTCTGTCATGTCAGATGATATCAGCGCAGCCCCAGAGGTGCAAGCGGTGCTTGAATCTAATCGTCATCAACAGATCATCCTGTTCGTTCACATTAGCATAAATGGTCACAGTGCGGATGAGGATGCAATGGGAAGACACAGTGGGAAGAGAAGGAGAGGAAGAGTTGGCAGAAGACAATGGAGGGACACCACTGGGTTGCTGTGTGAGTTCACTGTCAAGGGTGTTGTTTTATTAAGACCCAAACTGTCAGGGCAGGTATCAAGAGAGCAGCTGGGCACATGACAGGACACTTGGGCTAACATCCCAGTAACCCCTTCTCATACAGAAATAGCTCGATCCAAATTTACCATTCTCTCTGACAGACTTTTTCTTTTACCTCTAGCAATCAAGAAAAGTGAAACGTTCACCTGCATAGCCCTCTGGGACTGAGGAGGTGGGTTGTGACAGGCAATAACAATGTGGGTTTGTGTGTGTGTGTGTGTGTGTGTGTGTGTGTGTGTGTGTGTGTGTGTGTGTGTGTTTGAGAGAGAGATGGACTGGAGGAGAGAAAAACTACAAGTTGTTACAAAAGTGTATTTTTCCAGAAATCACTCAACAAGAGCCATATAAAAGGAACAGGTCAACATTATAGATGAGAAATTCTAGCACTCTCATACCCATCCGTTGAATATGAAGCTACAGCCATGTTACTATTGTCACGATACTGGAATTTCTAACTTCGATGCGATACCTTGAAAAATATTGATATTCGTTAACATTTTTGATACCACGGGGAAAAATTGATACATTACCGAATTTCATTACTAATTTATCTAATCAACTTATCTTAGAAATGAAGTAAAGTTAACAGAACTGTGTGTTAAGCAGAACACCATCAGTTAATTTACATCTGAGCTTAGTCAAAGTACTGTCCTATCCGCTGAAACTCTGCTGTCTGAAACTTCTCAGGTCTGACAACCTGAGGGGGATTAGCTTAGTTTTGAGAATAACAAATATCTGTTGGGCCAACAGGACAACTAGCTTATCCGCAACAGTTTACTGGGCCATCTTGTTTAGTACTTCAGTGCTTTGCTAAATTGGTTTTGTTGGCACCTTTGGTTAGCAGTGCTATGCACTATCGCTTGCATTTGGGCTTGCTTGTATCCCTGCCATCCAATCACAAGTGACAAGTACTAAAAACAACAAATTGTGGTTTTCACGATTTATCTTTTGTGTGCATTAACCAAACAATATATAAGGTCTATATAATTATTGAACTAGAGGTGCAGGTAGGCAGAGAGTCAATATAGCTGTTTCCCAGCGTTTCCAGTCACTATGCTAAAGTAAGATAAAGGGCTGCTGGCTGTAGATTCATGCTTTATGGACAGGTATGATAATTGTTCTCTTCTAACTATTGGCAAAGAAAACTAAATATGTCGACCTATTCCTTTAACCTCTTAATCTCTTAAATTAACTGTATTAACTAGTGATTTTTACAGTCAGAGTGTGAATGTTTAAAAACCCTCTTAGCACTGTTGCATAGGTCTTTGTGAGATATACAATTTGCAGGATTTAAAAATGCATGGCTGCACGCAGAAATCACGAAACATCATGCTTTTATCATGATAATGAAGATTAAGAGAGAGGCAAAGGGCTGCTGGAGACATAAATATTGAATTGGAAGAGGTGGACATGCACAATGTCTCAGCAGACAGCGATTAAGCAGAAATACATGCACATTTACTGTATGTTTATACACACCAGCTGACATACACACATTTTCTTTTTAAGCGTGACCACCACACACACACACACACACACACACACACACACACACACACACACAGAGATAAATATATTTCCTAAAGAACACAAGAACGCTGTGAGTAATTAAGGTTACAGCTGCCTTAAGTTCAGAACAAAGCAGTAGCTTAAAACAAAACAAAATAAATGTCCTAGTGTGGGGTTCGGTTGTGTGAACCTACCGTTATTTTATTCAAAAATAGGTAGCCATGCACACATAGGTTAATGTAGGTACATTTGTTTGGGGTTAAAATGAACATTAATCAGATAATGTAGCACATTTGGCACATAAACACGCAATATTTTTGCAGGATAAGTACATGAGTGAAGATGAGATGACTAAGTGACATTTTCATTCAGCTGCAGGAGTGTTCTCCGTTGAAATCTCCCGCCTGTTGCTACAAAATGACCACAAACATGTCTGAGCAAATATATTTCCAGCAGGTTGCTGTTGTCAAGACAACAGCAATTTGCACGGAGGGTCAACTAATTTTCCCTCATCAGCCGCGCACTACATCAAGTAATGTAGGCCTTTTAAATAATGCGGTCATTTAGAACGTTTTGATGCTTCTGCTTGGTCTCCTCGAGCCAGGCTGCTTTGGTGCTGATCGTAGTCGCCCAAGTAACAGGACAGAACAACAAAGACGTGCAAAGTCAACTACCTCTGGACGGGATTCAAATTCAAGAACACTGCTGACATTGGCCAAAAGGATTTCACTCCCTTTCCATTCAAATGACCTGTTTTGCATCATTTGGAGAAATCCGGGCAGGATCACACTATGAAAACAAATTGCAGTGCTTTAAGATAACAGGACCAAATTTGGCAGGGCTTATGTCATCACAGGCCATTATGGTCAAGCTAACTTGAATGGCTGATGCTATGGGCAACCTTGATGTGTATGCAAAGCATTGTAGGAGGGCGCTGAGGTTTATACTCTCCAACAAAGCTGAAGAAGAAGTTTTGTGGTTGAACAGGTTTCCAGATTTTCAAAAGCTTGTGCCTAAACAATGTACTTCATGTCTTAATTCCCGAAATCTCTTACTGCACTAACACTAATATTTTGCCTGTAAATCCAGCAGGAGTTTTGCCTTCCTAAACCCCCCCCCCAAAAAAAGATCTTGCTGAAGTAGATTAGACGTAATCCAAAGTGACCACAAATTAGGCCAAAGAAGGTGCATCAAATGAAGGTTGTAATTCCACGCCGGGGTGCATTAGGATATTTATCATCACAGCAATCCCTGGCTTTTAATTCATTTGACATCTTTCAGCACTAATACAGTATCTGATTTCTGAGAAGCACCAGTACACGGTCACACAGCGTGACATCTGGAGGAAAGCAGCAGGTTGCAGGACAAGAAATGTGTTTCTACACAGAATAGAGAACACGGCCATTATGTCTGTGCCAGATTTACGCTTTACATCTAAAAAGCACAAGCTGGGCCCGGGCATAACTACCGCCCGCTGCTCTCAATGTTATTCAAATGACAGCACAATTCTATTTTCACCTTCCAACTAATGTGACCATTCCTCTTATGTCAGCAACATTTACTGTCCTTCCTTTGTGTTGGATATGCTAGCAAACTGGCAAATTCATTCTTTAAATGGGATTATCCTGGAAGGTGTGCGTACTTGCTAGGATTCAGTTCCAAATTATTCTCCTCTGAAATCTCCCGTCCCATCAACTCTCATGAAACGGTCATGCGGAGAATATAAGCCCCTGAGGCCTTATCAAAAAGGTGACACATGAAGCTTCTATCGCCATGACTAGCTACCTTACCTTGATCTTGCTGAATACGGTGGTAAAATAACATCAAAACATCAACAGGGGCACGAAAAGCAACGTAAACAATGTCTTCAGAAAAAAAAAAAATGCGTTGCCACAAGAAAACAGGAAAGGAGGGGTGGTTGCATTGACTTGGATGAAGGGGAAACGGGTGTAGATGGTTGTAGCAGGGTATGTTTGTGTGCTCAGGTGTGTGTGTGAGTGATCATCCACGGAGCCCACGAGTAAACTCTGGAGGGCAAACAATCTCCCTAATTGAATTCAATCCAGGCTCACCACAGGAGGCATCTAGGCTAGTGGCTCCATTAAGTATGGAGAGGTTTGGTGGAGGTGGGAGTCAGTGCCAGGACGAGGAGGTGGGGGAAGGGGGGTATATGCGTGTATGGATAGGCTGAGGTGGGGAGGGCTTTAGCTGGCATGAAAAGTGAACGAGAAAAGGGGAAAGATGATAAGTACAAGAAGCAGAGAGCAAACACAGGATTGTAGAAGACAACAATGACAAACAGAGATGGAGAGGAAAAAGAGCTCGGTGTGTGAAGGTTTTGGTGGTTAAGAGGTATTTGTGTGTGTGTGGGGGGGGGGCATGCAAGGAGCAAGAGACTAGAGGCATAGAGAAATGGAGGCCAGCTGCGCTTTTGCATGATTACACCGAAAACATCATTTGCATCAGGGAATGAAATCCAAACACGCTCCGTAGATACGTATGGTTACCGACCAAAAAAGCCCTCCCTGACGCTGGCGGCAGACATTAAAGGCTTACCAGTGACAGACAGATTTGCATATGAAGATGAGTACCTATCATGAATCATTTTCATAAACATCCTATTGCACACAAAGAACAAGCCCTATTGGCCCACATGAAGGCTCTTCATTATTAAACTTAATAATTAATCTGGGATCTGTTGCCATATTCAGGATGTGTAATGAGATATTCTGTCAGGTCTGATACTGTCAGAAATGGTGACAAAATTGTACATTACCTTGGAGTGAGAAGGAATGTGGTTCTGGCTGAGCGTGCTCCTCACAAATCCTTTATATCACATTCCAGATAATAAAACCATGTTCCGTCCTGTGAGGAAACAGAGAGAGAAGGGAAGGAAGCAGGTCAGGAGATAGAACAGGATGGTCTTGCGTCAGTAAAACACGGCAAGTCTTATTCTTTAAAAAATAGTTGACAGGGGACATAATTAAAAAGTCCAGCAGGAGGAACTTTTAACGTCTGCCAACATGGCTTGAAGTCACCGTTTGCAGGCCTGTGCACATTCAGGACATAGAAAACTACAGAAAATAATTACTTTTCAATGCCAGAAGTGTTAGTTTGTCACAAAAAATGATATAATATATTTCCGTCTCTTCTGGCCCGAGCATTATTAAGTGGCATCTTCATACATTTTTAAGCTGTTCTCTGGTTCCCACAGTGGTGATACAGCCCGATTGCTGCTGTATGAAGTGCTATTCAGGTCACATCAGCTTTTAATGGCTGATTTATTAGGGCCCAACTGGGGCTTGGTGATGGGCTGCAGGACAAAGAGCCTGTTTTAAAGTGCATTAACACTCTGCAGTAAATATCCCATGCAACATTAGCATTTTGATGACTGCCTCCACCAGTCACCTTTTGCGCCGTCTCGTTCCCCCCCTCGCACACATTGTGCTCTCCTGCGCCGCCTCTTAGCCTTTGTATCAATTCATCTTCTGCATGTGGCACTTCCTCTCTTTCAGCCTTTGCGTCACTCTACTCATTACATTTCTCCCTCATCATATTCAATATAAACCTTTGCTGGGCTGACACCACTGTGCACAGGTGGAATGGTTAAGTTTAATTACGGCTGAAGTAATGAGCGGCACGAACCGCTTCACAGGGGTAAAATCGAATTGTATTCGGTGAAATAGAAAAGCGTGTTTCTTCTTCAACCTCACTGCTGAAAAACATGTCACCTCACTCCCTTTAGATATTGTGATGCAAACTATATTTACATGATTTGTTATTAAATCTCACCTTCAATCATAAAAGTGATGAGCACCAAAGCTTTTGTGATTGAGTTGTCTATAGCAGGTTGATGTCTTGAATACTAATCCAAAAATAAAAAAGGATTAATTAGTAGTGCTGTGTTTACTATGCAAATTAGATAGATACTGGACTAGACAAGAAAAAAAAAACATTTGGGTTGTCTCTCCCATGTCATATATATTAATAGCACTGGCACATGCTTTAAAAATACCATAATAAATCATAAACAATCATCACGTCATCATCGGGTTTCATACTGTAAATATATGTAACTGATCAAAAACACGCCGAGTTCCATTTCTTTTTTCCAAACTGTGCAAAGATGCTAAAAAAACAAAAACAAATGAAATCTCAATTATGCTGCCAAACTTCCAAATATCATCTGGGCACAATGGCCGACCGATCTTGGCTTGCGAACAAGTGCTGGGGACGTGCTGCATCAAATCTGCTGTTCATTATGTTTGATCAAATTTGAGACTTTGGCGGAGAAAGCAGATGCCATAGGTCAATTCAGCTGAAGCTCTAAAACTAGTCTGGTCAACGGAGCATCTGCCAGTCATTTAGCAGGCCTGGAAGTGTTTGGAAAGGAACACAATCACACCCTATCGCAACAATCTTAACCACAAACTGTTGCACAAAGGGAGAGACAGAGTTCACAGACAAACGAAAGTAAAAATTATATTCCGGGCAGTTTAATGGTCCATATTTGGCTTTCATCAGCAGCTTATCCTGGCTCTTTTTTTTTTTTATCCAGACCTAATTTACAGTAATTACAGCAATTTAATTTTCTTTAATTTACATTTTACTTCTTATTCACTGCTCCTCTCCCTGATCTTCCTCAGTGAGCAGAGACGGTGTGGGAGCCTGATTCAGACCTGCTCTCTTATAATCATCTGTGTTAAATTACTGGCAGTGGTAGGGAACTGAAGCTTCCAAAACATCTTCAAAGAGTTTTGGACCAGAGAAATGTACACCAGGCAGTTCCAGGCACTCAAGGCAATCCTGTACCATTACTACTAGGATGTTCATTCCAAAGATATGCATTTCTATTGAAGTACTAGGCTCGAATGACCGTATGTGACACCATGCGAGATAGCTGTTTATTAATGCCAGGTGGCTCATAAATAGAGTGACTGCAGAGTTACTCAGGAGTGTGTTGAGTATACACTGTGTGACGGAAAGGCAAGAGCAGTCACCCCACCCGGATTCGAACCCGGGTTTACAGGGTACCAAACATGCAACGCAACGCCAAAGAGCCAGGCTCGTTGGTATGGCAGTCACAGCGCATACTCAACCGTAGTGATGGTGGTCCGTCACACACTGCAACACCACATTGCTGGCATTAGGGCTGTACGATTTGAGAAAATGTCTAATTGCAACTCTTTTGAGCAATATTTAAGTTGCAATATAAATTTCTTTCTTTAAATGTAACTAGAAGTCTGTTTTTTTTGTAATTTATTTTATCCAGCCACTTAGAGAAAAGTCAAATTAGAAGTAAACTTGCCTAGTTTTCTACAGAAAAAAACCCCCCAATGCCCTTACATTTAATATTATTAGACCAGTGGAGTACTTGGCATCACTCAAAAATAATCAAATATAATAACTCTCAAAAGTGGTGTCATATTTACAGTTGCAGCTTTATAGATAGCCAGCTAGTCACGTCTGACAATTTTATTTATATTGGACAAACAGCGCCTAATGCTACAGTTGACAGCTCTGTACTCTAGCTGCTTAAGCTAATGTTAATGTAAGCTAACATTAGCGTCGCAGAGTGACAGGAGGAACTACTTCAAAGCTTTGAACCCTGTTTCAATTTAGCACATTGAGAGTGAAAGCTTAAAACAATGACGCTTTAAAGGTTAAGTAAAATATTCAGCATCTGTTTTTTACTGTTACACTTGAGAACTGCCGAGTTACCCGCCAGCAGCTACCTTACTGAATTTGACATGAGGGTACAAGCTCTTTCTCTGTTGGTCTTTTATGAACAGAAAAAAATAAACAACAACAAATTAAGTGTGCATGCATAGTTTGGTTATCTCTGCAGTAACATTTTAAAGTTTTGTATTAAATAATCCCTGTAAAGGCCATTTTAAAACTGACAGTGGGATTTGGGTTTTTCATTATGTTATTAACTTCACTGCCTGCTAAGGATACGCACCAGGCAGTGTTACTGAGAGCAGAACGTGATGTGAAAGAGTTTTGTTGGACTGCCAAGTAAGCCAGCCAGGTTGACTCGATATGTGTGAGTGAATGATTCTACACTGCGGAAATACACAAAGCCTAGAGGAGGTACTGTGTATATATAGCAACTTTATGGCATTAACACGCACACAAAAAAAAGTTTCCTAGGAAGGGAGTGTAAGGCCCTTTTCTTCGTCACATTATCTACTGTACTCCATTTTTCAGTTCCCATGGTGAAAGGAATGTTTTCTAAATTACAAAGTGATGAAACACAGGCCAGCTATCCTGCTTTCAATGCCATGAACTTGTACCCAAATTTGATTTCACACCCCAAAAGTGATTCATTGTGGTGGGTTTCACTTTTGAGCGTGGTCACAAGTGCAGCGGACCGCGGCAGACAGTAATGCAGGGTGTGACGAAGCTTTTCAGTGTTTCATCATCCTTTGTTATGTTTCAAATTTCAACAAAACTAAGGAAAGCAGTGAAAAGGGAAAGCTATCATGGGGTGGTCTACAACAGCCTGCTGTGTAGTAACAATCTAAAACCACACAAATAAATTAGTTGACCTCCCTGTCTCAATTATTTTTCCCTGTTGACGATGACACACTGTAGCTTGAATTCATCAGAATGATGTGTTTTATATATATATATATAAATAAATAAATAAATATATAAAACACTTGAATTCAAGCTACAGTGTGTTTAATCTGAACAAGCAATTACACACCTGAATAAAAGTATGCATAATAATCAGGGTTTTTCCTAAGTGTTTTTTTCAGAGGACTTAAGGGGTAAAAAGGAGAGGCAAAAAGAAAATAAATAAAAAGGAGCACTACTGAAGAACAAGAGTGATAATGAGAAAGTAGACCTTTTCTTTTCAAATTAAACAGTTATATAGCTGCTTTTCACATAGCAGCAAGGTAAATGCTAACAACAGCAGATGAAAATAGTATCAAACAGAGCTGTAAAGTTAAATATGATGCATACAAAACCAAAATGATGATCAAGAATTGTTATAGGGTTTTTGGATTGGTTGCACACTTCGTCTGCTACTCCACAGCGTGTGTTGGCTTTGCAGCTGTTGGTTACCTCACCCTTGGCTTCATGCTGTTTCAAGGTAGACAGCTCATCGTGATGAATAGTACAGGGGCATGGATTTGACCAGCTGAAGAGAAACAGGGCAGGACTAACACTGTTCCTGCCTCAATACCGTTCCTGCCTCAAGGTGAAAAGTTGTATATTGCAGTTCTAGGGCATTCTTGAAATATATTAACGCCTCTAGCACAGGCTTATCATTGTGTGTCAAAAAAACTGCTATCAAGAGACAAAAGAACATATGAGAAAGCACACAGCCACTGTATGACTGATCCAAGTCGACAGCCTGTGGTGTGTCTCTATAAAAGCATTTACTGAGGCACAGCACCGTGGCCTGCTGAAAGCTCATCAAAGAGTGGCTTATTTTATCAGCCAAGTGGAAAATGTGCTGAGAAAGAGAGGGAGAGGCAATAGTGGGAAGTCAGCGAGAGTAACTAAGCTATTGTGCCCATCGCTGACCCAAACACCCGCGTTACAGTAGTCACGCCTGCTCACAACAAAAGCCCTAATCGGCGGAGCAGGGCTCGAAATTAAATGACCCTGTGGTTGTGACACTGTAACTGACAAGCCGGCCTGTGCATGCTGAGGCCAAAGGCAAAGGAGATATGGCTAATGAACTGAAAATGCATTGAAATGGTGGCATCTTTTACAAGTACAGTCGGTCTAGAGTAACCCACATACTCCTCTGTGAAGTATGCAATGTGCACTGTTCGAATACTACTTGCAGCTATTTCATAGATTATACAGACTTTCAAATGAGCTGCTCTCAGAGACAGGAATATCCA